ATTATTATTATTATATATTATTATTTATTATTATTATTATTATTATTATTATATTATTACTATTTATACGAGTATTTCCTTAAAAACCTTATATGTCTGTGGTGCTTTGACAAATTAGAGAGATTATACAATCACAGCACAAATCTTGAACTATGAACATAATATTAATATTACGTTCGTTATTGACGTAGTTGATGCCGAGAGTCGCGGGCGCGGCGCGGCGCGGCGCGCGGGAGGGCAGGGCGTCGCCGTGGCGTCGCGCCGAGGCCGCCCTAGGGGCCGTGCGCCGAGGCGCAGCGCAGGGGGCCGCACGCGCGGGAGTCCCGGGGGCGGTCGCGTGACGTCCCCGCCCGCCATTAGGGCGGATGAGCAGCGCGGGCGGGCGGCCGCACGCGTGCCTGCGCCGCGTGAGCGCGCACGTGCGCCGTCACGCGGCGCCCAAGGAGAGGCCCCTCGCCTGCGCCGGCGCGCACTTGGGGCTTATTTCCAGACAGGTTTCGGACAGATCCGGCTTGAACGGCGTAGGAAAGGTTTGAGGTTATCTAAAAGAAGAGACCCGTTTTTTGCAAATGGGTTCCTCCCTTTAATACATAATGGTGATTATTAATACCGATTTACCCAACTATCAGTTTGCAACCTCATGGAAACATCAACGAAATTAAGTATATTCCTATATTTTTTCAGTATTAAAGAAAATGAAATACGATTCATAAATATTTACATAAATAGATTGTTACAATACGTTTACAAATTCGAATTAGTATATCTGATGAGCCTATCACCATCTGCTCCGTATTTTTTTAGAATTGTGGGCTTTTACTTCATTAGCTGTGACAGAAATACTGACTTTGTGGTATGGTTGAGATAGTTTACGAATCTTTACATTGAATCAATCAAAACATTGCATATTTTGTGTTACAAAATTGATATAATAATTGCATTCTACTCCAAAATAGGGTGTGGGGTGTTGTAATTGAATTGTCTCGGACTATTTGAAAATTTCTTCATTACTAATGTGAGGGGTATTAGCATTGTTGAAATTGTCGTTTTCCATGAACAAAATAATATTAGCATCGGCATTAATTTTAATCCATGAAAAGAGTATATTGAATTTTATTAATTAACAAATGTAAAATTTATATCTCCAAAGGAATCTTTAAAACATGTAGCCGACGGACATATTTAAAAATAATCATTAAGAGTTTGAGGTAACGAATGTGTTTTAGTGACAGAGAGGGAGATGTATTGTTGAGAACGTTTCTTTCAATATATTTAAAAATAACATCAATATTTGTCGACCTTTGTCGAAGCATTCGCAGAATTAATTTGCCTCTGGGGACGTGAGGTTGCGGATTTCCGTTAGCGAATCCAGTGTGCGTAGCGGAGTCACTGATATTTGATAACAAACAATTCACTTTCAACGGACTACGGCCAACAGCTTTTTTTCTGCTTTTAAATGGTCGAACGAAATAGTAACTAATTTTGCTACTTAAGCAGTAGTCAGTTTGTTTTCAATCAAAAAGTTTATTTTGATATCAAAGACCACGTGTATTCTTTTATAAATATTATTATTAACAAGTAATGTCATATATTTTATGTAGCAATCTTTCTAAAAATCTTTCATACAAATGAAAAATATTTACTGAAAAACATTGTAATTTATTTAAATTCCCCCAAAACACCAATAATTAGTTCGTCTTTTGTACTGAATGACGTAAATCGATGATTGTAGGAACCTAGCTGTTACAACAGTACACACTTTTTCACATTAGTTTGCATCATTTGCAATTTTCGATAATTCAATGTGTTTAACAAACACCATTCTTTTTTATCTCCCTATTCTTTCTACGATCTATTTTCAAGATGTCTTTCAACAGTTTTCCTGAAGGAAAAAATGGTTTCCAATATTGTTGTTGAAGTAACATGCTGAAAAAAGTTTAAACTTTTGAAACTTTCGAAAAATCGGGGATCTTTATGAACATGATACCTGCAAATATTCTTTTAAGCGATCTTTACTCTGTCCGAGAATATTGTTTAATGAAAAATGTGGGTCCATTTTTGAGAAAATTTTGAAAATGTTATTGAGGTTCGTATATGAGACACTGTCTGTTATCTCGGCGTTCACCATTTCACATTACTCGTATTACTTCATATTATATGGAGATATGTTTGCACCTGTTGACCTCTTTTCCTCTTGCGAGCTTTTAGAAGAATAGGATATGTATTTTGAGAGAGAGAGAGAGAGAGAGAGAGAGAGAGAGAGGAGACAGAGACAATGACTGAGAAATAGACACAGAGAGAGACATGGAAATAGAGACACAGTGACAGAGAAAGAGAGATAGAGCGGGAGAGGAAGCGAGAGAGAGAGATAAACTTAGACTTTCTTCTTAAACTTAGTCTCATTTTGTTTTCGGTCGAGGATTTTCTAAGCATGTATATTTTCATTTTCCCTTTCATTCAGCGTTACATTTAATTTTATCCAGCTCTCCCCTCTTCTGCCATCTATCGGCGTCTGCTACCAGGATCTCCCGCGGTCTCTACCACAACCCGGAACTCATCCCAGTGGGACCCCCCCCCCCTCGTGCTCTCAGAATCACACGCCGAGGCATCCCTTGTGCCCGCCTCAGCCCTTTTCAGCTATGCCCGAACTAGCCCAATGGTCCATTTCAGCGATTCTGAAATTATCCTGATTTGCCTCATTCCCGCACACGAACTTGTAGCACACAGATCACTCCCACATTTACTGGCCAGAGCAAGTGATTAGGGGAGGATTTGCGTTTGTGAAGGGGAAGATGAAGTTTTGGGAATGTATCCCATGCCACAAAGGCAACTGAGAGATCAAGGAGGTCCGTCTATCCAGATGTAGCGGGTACATGCTTCACATGATGTTCCTTCGTCACCCGGGCCGACCAGGAATTGCAATAGAAAGAAAGATTATGAATAAAGAGCAGGAAAGCCAATCACTTCATAAAACAAAGGTGGAAAGGCCCACGCTCACGCCCACGCCCACGCCTGTCTTGAACATTCGATCCCGCGTTCCGCGCTCAGTTCCCCACGGCTGTCTTAGACCCCGTTTACACGCTGCCTTTGCCGAACGATTTCGAGAGTTACAGCGGACATGCGCATGCGCACAGTGGCTCTGCCGGTCGTAAAACTCCTTTGCGCATGCGCGAAATTGCTAAAGGTCCTTCATCAAAAGGAAGTTTGTGAATATCCGACGTTGGCAATCATTTGGAGTGGAGCGAAGGTGACGACTTGATCCATTGAAATTATAAGCTTTTTTTTCAATTCATTTAAAGTTGATAATGTTCCAAGTAATATTTCAGATGTTTGGAGTAAATTTATGTAATTGATTCGCTAATTTATTATTCAGACATATCTCCGCGTATAGTATTTGTTTAAAGTAGATACTTTAGTAAGTACTTCGGACGACATCCGCCGACCTTCCTCCGGGCTTCTATCAGCCACGTAGCTACTGACTCCGGCCGCTGACGCTCTCGTAGTAGCTTATTGTCCACACATTGCAGCACGAGTATGTTCTACGTATTGCAGAAGTCTGATAGAATTGTCACACTATGAACTTGCTTTATTCGATTTTTACCTTGTTTTTTACCTTAGGTGGAAGCTTCAATCCAATTAAGCATATTTTTCGAGGCGAGGCTGAGGCCGTTAGGTATTGTCTTCTCCCAAATCGCGTAAATTTCACATAACTCCTTTCACCATGTAGCAGCGAAATATATCATCACTCGCGATTGCAATTTGGATCAGAGGTGTCTTTCAAGGTCGCAAACCTGCTGTTAAGCTCCGAAGGAAGCTCCATACTAAATATTTTTTCGCCCTCACAAAGTACACGACTTTGAACAAGCGAACTTGCCTACAAATCCGATACGCTATCTGACGGCCTGAACCTTGCCACGTATAATAAGGCTTAATTGAATTGGGCATTCCAACTAACAAAATTAAATAAGTTTCTTAGTGCGGAAGGTTCAATCGGACTTTTTACAGTTCTGGATCTGCTAACCTTGTCTTTCCAAAGAGCATTGAAAGGCCCATTGTCCGTGCAGATACACGTCACTTTCATCGGATTTGAACCCGCGAACTTGGTTATAACAGCCCGATATGCTAACTGTTACACCCCCGGAGTCGTTAACTTAGCCAAACTGGCAGAACTGCAAAAATGAAATCAAATGATTTTTTAGAATGACAAGGTTCTACCAGACTTCTTACACCACCGAAACCGCTACCTTGTCTCTTCAAAGCCTGTTGAGAGGCCCGTTGTGGGCGCAGAAACGCGTCGCTTTGATGAGAGTTGAACACCCGAATATGAGTATTACTCCGTTATACCCCTCACCCTCGGAGCCGCTAAACTTGCCATTCCAGAGTCTGTTGGAAACCTCATTGTCCGCGCTGAAACACGTCCCTTGGATAGGATTTGAACCCGCGAACTTGGGTTTTACAGACCGATACGCTAACCGTTACACCCACGGAGCCGCTATCCTTGCCTTTCCAAAGACCATTGAGAAACCCATTGTCTGCGCAGATACACGACTCTTCTATCAGATTTGAAACCACAAACTAGGGTGTAACAGTCCTATACGCTAACCGTCACACTATCGGAGCCGCTAACCTTACCATTCCAAAGACCGATGGAAAATCCCATTGTCTGCGCAGATACACGACTCTTCGATCGGATTTGAACTCGCGAACTTCGGTATCACAGTCCTAAACGCTAACCGTTACACCCACGGAGCCGCTAACTTTGTCATTCCGTTGGAAAATCCCATTGTCTGCGTAGATACACAGCTCTTCGATCTGATTTGAACCCGCGAACGTGGGTATAATAGTCCGATACGCTAACGCTTCCACCCATGGAGCCGCTATCCTTGCCGTTTGAAAGAGCGTTGAGAAGCCCGTTGTTGACGCAGGTACACGTCGCTGCCGCCCAACTCCATCAACATGCTGTCGCTGCTGATCGAGTCGAAGATCCGGCTGCCGCAGAGCGCGCCGGTGCACACGCGCGCCACCAAGCGGGAGCTGCTGCGCGCGCAGGGCGAGCGCGACTTCTTCCTGGGCGCCGTGCGCGACGTGGCCACCGAGCTCGACCTGAAGGCGCTCTCGCACAAGGCCGTCGACAACATCGCCGTGCTGCTGCAGGCCGACGGCGCGTCGCTCTTCCTGGTGGAGGGCCCGCGCAGCGGCCGGCAGACGCTCGTCTCCAAGGTCAGCCGCGCCCCCCCCCCTCCCCAACTCTTTTGTCATCACGACGCCTTTTCTTCTTCTTGATCACAATTTCTTTTTTTTCTTCTACGTTTTGGACACGTTTCCTCTTTTGTTTGGACAAGTGTCTCCTTTTACGATAAACTCCTTTTCTGGCACAGTTGTTCCTTTTGAACAAACTTCTTCTCTTTCTTTTTCTTCTTTCTCTTCCTCATCTTGTCTGAAGTTTTTTTCTTCTTTTTTTCTTCTTCTTTTTCTTCTTCTTCTTCTTCTTCTTCTTCTCTTTCTTCTTCTTCTTCTTCTTCTTCTTCTTTCTCTTCCTCATTTTGTCTGAAGTGTTTCTTCTTCTCGTCTTCTTCTTCTATTAAGAACTTCTCTTTCTTAATTGACAAGCTTCGTATTTTCCAACCGAATCTCTCCTTCAATTAGAACAAAATTACGCCTTTCTGATATTTGCTCTTTTTCCCGCAAACTACTCCTTCATGTTTGTCAAACTTTTTTTTAAACACTCTTTTACATACAGTTTTCATTACCATTACTGATTTCCATTATCACATATCATAATAGTAATCGTCTAAGCGTTTGACATGTATCAAGCAGATATTATATACACCTTAGTATTAAAAATAGTATTTGCAAAAGTATTACAAAATTTAAAAGAATAAATTCTGCTCATTATATTTGGATTATAAATCATTTTCAGCTATTTTCAGTTTGCATGAAAAGTATTTAAGTTACTCATAGAAAAAAATATTTTTTTTTTGTTTTTGCTTTTTCTACCATTTATTTTTTTAATCAAAATCACACAATAAACGAATGCCTAGCTCCATGATTGTTCGAAAATAAACCGTTAAAATAGTTGTGTCGAACATATTTTATGTCATACAATTCATGTGTTGCCATTTTTGTATTTCTAATGGATATTTTTGTTCCATTCTCATTTGCTTTTGCAGCCAATTGAGGAGACATTCATCAATCTAAATATCAAATTGCATGGCTTGGAGCATGACAATTGATGTGTGATTTAGGGAACAATATAGCTTGCAATTGCGGCTACCGCATAATTTGATTCAACGTAACAGAGAATTGTAGGGTAGAGAATGAGTATGACGTCACTAAACCAATGGAAAATGCGTCAAACGTGTCATTTGCACTGGCTATTACGTCACCGATGCCGTCAGAAAATAATTTGCAGTTCACACGATTCGTGAAATGTCCAAATTGTATGTTATATACCCGAATACCGTGTAAGGACAAAAGATCTAGAAGTTTTTTAAAAATATTCCTTGTAATAGAAGTACGAGTAGTATATTTATTACCCGTGTTCATTCCTTGATGTGAAACATTCACTTCAACCTTTTTGTTTTAATAATTTTAACTCTTAAAACAATAACGGCGAAATAAAAACCGTTTACATTCCTGTTTGTAAATGGGAGATTTGAAAAGAGCGTAATGTCAACATATTTTGTGGTCAGTGATAATGCAAAAATTATAGGGTGCATTGACATTGAAATTATTTTTTACGACAGTTGACATCATTTCATACTGGTATTATAATAATGGATATAAATATTGAATTTGAAACCTCTATCTCAATTAGAATGCATCTTGTAACAAATATTCGTTTCTGCTTTGGGTACTCAGGAAAATATTATTGGCCTGCACCCAGAAAAGGTGCTGAGCTATCGCGGGGTGTTTTAACCATTCTCATTCAACAAGTTACTCTAGCGGAGAACTCCGTTCCAACCACCGCGATTTCACGGAGCATGTTTATGCATTTCGGCTTTAAAGCGGCCGACCTTTAAAGATATAGCCAGCATTCTAGAGTTTTCTAGTGTTAAGGAAGCGAGAAGCGGAAGTGGCTAGCCGTGCGGACGTGGTGTGCTCCTGTGCCTGCAGGTGTTCGACATGCACAGTGGCGTGGGCAAGTTCCTGCTGCCGGGCGGCGCGGGCACCTGCGACAACGAGGTGCAGGTGCCGTGGGGCGTGGGCGTGCTGGGCCACGTGGCCGAGACGGGCGAGACCGTCAACCTGCAGGTGGCGTGCGAGGTGAGTGAGTGGGCGGGTCCCGCGGGGACTCTTCTGCTGCGCAGGCGCACGTTGCGGTCACGCAGGCTGTCCTCCGCCTGTGGCGCTGTCAGAGGCGGGTTTACGCTCCAGTTGCCTAGGGCGGCAAGTTTCTAGTGAACACTGAAATAAAAAAATAATTATATACAATTCACATCTAAAAAAATATAGTAAACAGATTTTTGAATTTCAATTTTATATTTAGCAATATTATTATTAGTAGTAGAAATATTGAAATTATTATGAACAAGATGCGATGAACTGAAAATTTGGAAAATTTCACGGATTTTAGGCTCACCTTGTCGACCTGAGGTCAATGTATGACTTGACCAATGATGCCAGACGTGTCATAATTCTCATATATGTGATGTTTTGCCATTTTATACGAGTATGCATTATATTAAGTTTTACTATCGTTAAATTATAATGCATTTATCAAAAAATTCACGCGACAAAAGCATGAAGAAAAATTTTATTAATTGTTGATAGTAATAAGAATGAAGTTAAGTAATGTTTAGTTTCATGAACTTTTTGAGTGCAAAAATCTACTATTTAATATTTGAAATGCATATTAAATAAGATAAAACTCCGTAAATTCCACAAATTAATTAAATATACTACATAACTTACAATTAAGTTGTAAATATTTTTTGGTGAACATTAGAAATATAATAGCATTGAACCGCTGCATTGAACTGGATACTAGTTTGTGACTAGCCTAAGACGACAATCCTTTCTAAATCCGGCCGTGGATTCTGCCCGCATTTACCAATCAAAGTTCGTTTGCCATGTTGGCTTTGGCTATCTGCTCTGTAGGGTAACTCCAACTTCATTTTTTGTCAAACACGTTCGCAAAAAGGGAAATTTTATTTTTGGTCAGGAAATATTTACATTTTCCGAAGGCCCAAGTATATAGGAAAGGAATGACTATCTTCTCGTTTTGCAGCCGAACTTAATTTTTTTCCTCGTCATCGATGTTCTCACGACCAATATATTACTCTCCTCTCTCAAGTGCTGCGTGACTTCAGCCTGCATTATTGCTCGCTCAATTCGTTATTGCTGGCTGTTCAGGTAAGGATCAAGAGTGCCTCGTCAGGGTTGTCACTCCAACCCGACACCTGACGCCGCAAATGGTGCTCAGTCAGATTGCGGGATTCAGCCGTCACTCACCGTAACGTGCCGGGGCTACATTTAATTGTCCCGTAAATTACATCGCCCCTCTAATCCGCCCTTCATTCCCTCATCCCCGCCCGCGCGGCGGCGCAATCCCAAATGAATGCGGTGCGCGCGTATTAGTCACAGTTTTGGGGGACATGTAATAAAAGTTGGCGTCGAACTGAATGCACTGATAAACTAGAAATGCTACTATTTTTATTGTTCGTAGGTATTGTTGGATGTAATGTTGAAAATGTTGGTGCTAATTTTTGTGGAGTTTTTTAGATTAACTGACCGATTTGTGTTAGATTCGCAACAACTTTCAGATATATCTGCCGCTTGGTGAATAACGCTATCGGGCCTGAAGTTGAGATGACCTGAGCTTCATGCATGCCATGCCAACTATCTTAAAAGTTTGATTGGAATCTTTAATTGTCGATATGAATCTCAATTATCCGAAGGTTCACTGCCTTTATCCAGTTAGAATACGCATGAAGCAAAAATTGTTTAAAATGTTTTTGTATAGGAACGCTTCATTAATCAGCAGGGTGATGATCAAATCGATTGATTCCTTTCAATAAATGGAAGTTTGAATACCACACAATCCGCATTGAATATATAATGAATGCATGGCTGATTTACACGAATTACGTCTATGATTGTCCCCTTTCGTATGGCTATAGCTGTGAAATCAACCCTTCGTCGCCTTGTCCTATCGGATGGTATGGTATGTTGGCAGAAACGTACTCAACTAGTCGTTTCAACTCCCAAATTACAATCTCGCGAATTTTATTTGAAAAATAAGACATTTTAAAATAAATAAAATAAGATATTTTTCTTCAGTTCCTCCAAAAGAACATGATATGCATCATGTATCACTAAGATAAACAAATTCAGGATTAATTTAAATAAATTATTAAATATTGAACACTAATGTAGTCCATTCGGTGTTTGTGTAAGGCAGGCAGTGTCACAAGAAATGTTCCTCACTTATATCAAATTACGAGCGGATATTTGCAAAACTTCTGACCGGGAAGCCCTAGGTTCAAGTCCCGACGGTGACAGATTTTCGACACTAGCTATATACCTAGGTCGAATTCAACCGCTCTCTGGAGGAGAATCGCAGCCGACGGTTGCCTTTGACAGTATTTTTCCGTGGCGTCCCGTGTCAATGCAGTCAAATACCAGAACAATACCTTAACGAACGGGCTGCAAACCCAGCGAGATCTTTCCTTCATGTTCCTTATCGTATCCTCTCCACTCACTTACACACACTTGCACTTAGTACATGCATCACACTGTCTCACATGTCGAGAGACCAATGGGTACCTTAGATTTTGACCAGGCTTGCAAGGGCTAGCTACATTAAAAGCACCAATGACCGTAACAGTTGACGAGCTCGGAACCAATCAATCAATGATCGGCTACTGAGCTGAGCAATCAATCTATCAATGATCAGCTACTGAGCTGGGCAATCAATCTATCAATCAATCAACTGCTTCTGAGCTGAGCAATCAATCGATGATCGGCTACTGAGCTGGGCAATCAATCTACCAACCATCTGCTACTGAGCTGAGCAACGTGCAAATAAAACCTTCCAGTGTGCCTGCGCTAAGCTATTTATTCACAGCTGTGCAACCACCGTAACCATTGATGATCGCCATGAAATATTCATACTTTACAAATATTCATACTAACTTCTTAGATCGCCACGCAGGCGTTATCGCAGACAGTTGATGCTCTTCGAGCACGGTAGTACCATGAACAGGCCGTGTATTCAAAGGCAATTAGTTGGCCGCTATGTAACCACCATAGCCCTCGAACCTGCTCGCCAATTCAAAAGCTCGTTGAAGAGGAAGGGGATGGAGAAAAAATTGGAAGTGAGTAAGATACGTTTCCCCTACACTGCGTCAGACAAGTTCCGTTCTAAAGGTTGTACTTAATGAGTAAATACTAATACTAATTCTAATACAATAATAATAATAATAATAATAATAATAATATAAAAAGGCATACAATGGTAGTAATATATACTTTTAGAGGAATAGCGTTCCCTCGATTACAAGGATGTTAAAAACTTCGTCTGACAGATAGCAGCAAACTATTTGCAGTTCGGATATGATATTTGTAATGCAGAGAGAATCTAAAAGTTTTTTGCGTTATTTTCTTGCAATTTCTTAAGCGTAAAGGTTTTCTGTAACATATATAAATATGTTGATAATAATAATAATAGTAATTTTCAATTTACAATGCAACATTGCTGTTTGCTGATGTCATCTAAACTTTTTACATCACCATCTTTAATTCGTTCAGAGCGGATCGGTGCTATGCAGGAGAGAACAAACGGGGAATGTATGTACCGGTAAAACACATTCTGCGTCCCAAATGACTCTGAAAGTTTAATTAGTACGTACGCTACCATGGCTCGTTGAAACATTTGAGCCAGTTTCGTGGACTTCAATTAATAATCCACAAAATTACGTGCTGATTCGTTATTAATAAATTAAAATTTTATGTGGGAGCAACAGGAATGTGTTTTTAAAGTTTAATTAGTTAGAGTTCAATATTTGCAATTTACACTCCGATCATTTGATAATGGAATATCCGTGAAAAATAATGAATTCACTCATTTGATGAACATGCTTGTGTTACGTTGAATTAATTTGTAATATAACGTCTGAGTTGGCGTCTGATTAAGGCGTAGCTTCGATGTAATCATTTTATAAAAAGGTAAAAGTGTATCAATATTCAGATGAGCTAATCGTTTTATAATTACGATATGATCATATATATAAGTTCATGTACTGAAAAGTATTGCGTCTTATGAGATATTTGAGTCTTATGGGCTAAGTCAGTTAAGTATATGCTTCTTACTGTAAACATTTGATAAATCAATATTTATTGTATTTGCTTTATTGATAAGACTAATTTTAAAATGATATCGGCCAACTTGTTATAGCCGTAACATAATCTACTTTCAGCAAATATCTCTCAGCTTTTTCTCGTAAGATACATCTCCATTCATTTCGAACTCTTCATAAAAAACGCATTGAAATACGCCTAAATATTCGTATCATCTTGAAATTATTGAGAGAGGAGTATAAATGTGTGTGTGTGTGTGTGTGTGTAAATATATAATATCTTGTTCTTAAAAATGTATTTTTACTTTAAATATGTCGTATATGGGTAATAAAAAGTCATGAACAACTACTGATTTTTTTATAACAAATAGAATAACTGCAGATTCTGCCCCTCAGTATTAGTGTTATTTGCCCTTTCCAACAAGGTCAAAGCAAATTTGCTTGCTCTCTTCTATACTAGAAGTGAAA